TCAGTAAATATTTATTTCATTCGAGTAAATATTTGTCCTCAGTAAATATTTATTTGATTCAAGTAAATATTTATTTGTGGTCAGTAAATATTTATTTAATTCAAGAGAATATTTATTTGTACTCAGTAAATATTTATTTGATAATAGACAAGTAATCAGTTACTTGAATCAAATAATTATTTTTTCCGATGTATTCAACAAAATAATGCTGTTTAGACAGGAAACGAACAAAATTTGTTCTTTCTATTTTAAGTAACTAATTTTTTTTTTTTTTTGTTAAATTTATCTTGAAATTTGCTTGAGAGAGCAACAAATGAGTAAATAAAAATTCTTGTTGCATAAATATAAACGTATTGTTGTCGAAGCCAAACATATTTCATTTTTATTAAAGTAGATTTTGAAAAAATACAGAAAGGACGAAAATAAAATTTCACACAAGCAGTTTTAATACATAACTTTGATTATATTTGAAACCATAAATTGTCAAGTGAAAGCAAAAAAGAAATTGAAAAGTTTGAAAATTGACTTTTAAAAATATATGTAGGCATGAATATTCCTTTTGAAATCAGGGGAAAAAAGATGTGTGCTTGGAGTACAAAGAACGTTTATATATATCTATGCATATGGTTGACTATTAATAATTCATCTGGTGTAGTTGAGTTTCAACAGGAGCAAATAAACTATGAATGAAATTAATAACAGAATAATCCGATTTCCAAGTCGTGATCGAATTCGAAAGCACTCTCAATATAGAATTTTCGCATTCATAATAAAGGTAATCTTTCCCTTTATAATACAACTATTTTCAATTTAATGGACCCGTGTGCGTCAGAATTGGTTGAAATAATTATAATCATTTTATTACTAACTCATTGGGAATAGAATTTCAAATTACTTTTATATAATCAATGATAATTATTAGGGAAGCTATAGATTATTGACTATATTTAAGGAGTTTAATATCTAACTTTAAAGATTTTTTTATTCTTTCGTAATATGTTGAAAGTTGAATCCATTTTATGCCTTTTTGCAAAGTTTGAACAGTTTTTATCTTCTAGTTCTTGGAATTCTAAATCTGGTCGAGATTGCTTTTAATAATTATAGGTAATTGAACAACTAAAGAGTAAATAATATGAATATAGTTTTATTTCGAATAAATATTCGTCTTCTTAATTAATTTGGGGTATGGACCGAAAAAGCCCGAAACAATGCGAACATCCCTCACAGTAGGCGTTACAACTAAAAAGTACTAAACAATGGAGTTTCAATAAAAAGAAGTGATTTTCAAACATTGTTAAACAAAAACAAATTTTTTTTTTAAATATTCATCAACATTTCTGAAATTTTTGTGATGAAATACTTGCATTTTTCATAACGACAAACATTAAAGATTAAAAACTACACAAAGTTTAAAACACTTCTTTTTATTGAAAATTCATTATTTTTCAATTATAATTTCTACTGTTATGGATGATCGTCAAATGCGGGTTTTTTTCGAATTTTCATGTACATCAATCATATCATTTACTATTGTTTTTATTATTATTATTGCTATTATTATTACTTTTTTGTTGGTTCTCGTTTTATAACATAAACATTTGAACTAATTTTAACATTAGTTATATTAATTTTTGGTTTTCTAAATGCAACTATTTTTGTAAAATCCTTGACTATATAAAGTCTTTTTTTTAGTAGGTGAATTGCAAAAAAAAGAATAAATACGTATGTATGTATATTTATTAAAGCGTAAAAATAAACCCAGCAGAAAAATCGTTATCAAGTATCATGTTGAAAATTTCGTGGAAACTTTTTCAATGTTCACTTTAATGTCTCTCAGTAAGGTTCTCTGTGTGAAGCTTAAGTATCTAATTAACCTCATAAATGCAGCGTGATTTGAGATTTGAGATGAAAAAAAAAGATCATATCGGCGCGTATCCTTCAAAGCCTTAAGGGTGGAATTATGACGTCAAGGTAGCCTTTATTTGAATTGACCTATGACCTATTTGGTCACAACTCGGTCTTAACACGCGAACGTGAATTGTTAGCAAACTTGTATTTCTATATATATCTATATAACACCTGAAACATTATTTTATGGTACAAGGAAGAACTTAGTTTCTGAAATTTTACATACAATTTTTTTCACGCAATATAAAGTTCAGTATAATGTAATTTTGGTGGGAAAGAGAAATTCTCTTTTTTAGAAAATACACCTATTGTATAAATTTACATTAAATAATGTATATTAAAAAAATTATATTATCAACTTTATTATTAAAATTTTGCCGAGTTATAGTTTCAATTAATACTACAATAATAATAATAACAATAATAAAAATAATAATACATAAACTCATAAATACAGTAAATAATATTAATGATCAAATTTATGCTCTCTAACTTTGAATCAATGAAAAGTCGTCCACTAATTTTATTCTTAGTAAAATTTTGCTATTTCATTAGTAATTTCAATTTTTTTGCTTAAGTTTCGGTGGGAAGTTTCTAAGAATTAGTAGAAATTTTTACAAATTTAAATTAGTGGACGAATTTTTACTAATTTGGATTTAGAGAACAATAAAGTATATTTATTTTATTAAAAAATGAATTGTTGAATATTTTTAAATTTCGACGTTAAAAGAAAGTCGATGAATTATTTTAGTATTTTATTTAACAGAGAAAACATATATTTGAGAGAATATTTATATGAATAAAATGACGGTGAAATTAATCGAGAATGAAGATATGAAATATTAAAATTTAAATGTATAAAAATTCCAATGACTCTTGTAAAAAATTTTTATGAGAAATTTATTCTCCATAATCTGTAACAATGTGTCACAAAATTTATTGAATTTAATTAACTATATTCAGGAAATTAATTAAATATGCTGTCGATAATGTATAAATTTATCGATCTGAAATAGATATGTGTGTAGGATATATATATATAGGAAACTATATAATTATAGTAATAAGCGGAAAATTAAAGTAAATTTTTTTTTTTTGCTAAACGTCTGAAAAAAATACTTTATACAATAAATTTGTTTAAGAGAGTAAGTTTCTAAATATAATTGTATATGTAGGAATAAAAGTTTCTCGAATATGAAACAGACATCCTTTTAATTAAAATGATCAAACTTGTTAAGAGTCCTGATGAGAAAAGTACCAGAAGGAAAATAAGTTGAGAATATATATATATATATATATATATATATATATATAGTAAATAGCGAAAACTCTTCTCTATAATTAAAACCAGTTTTATTCTATAATAAATTATTACTTTAAAATACAAATTAATTAAGGAGACGTATATTTAGAGGAAAGTTTGATAATTTTGAACGACGAAAATTCTCCTATGGAATTTGATGTCGCGCTTGTAAATCTGGCTTTCAAAATTATGACAAAGAAAATTTTCTATTCAAAATTATAACAAAAGTGTTGTTAAAATATTGGAGCATAAAAAATGAAAGTGGGAAAAAAAGTATTAAAATTTAAATATAATATATTTTTTATGAAACTAAATTTTTAGAGTTCTACTTTTTAATTATTTGATATTCGATATTATAAATTTTAATAAAAGGTCAAGAGTTCTTCTCAGTTCATGTGCAAATAATTATCGTAATAAAAAATATATATGCGGAGAAGTTTAGGTAATTACCGTAACTAATTATTATCACGTAGAGAATAACAATTTTTACAAGCCATCATAAATAGTAATTGCTTTTTAGTTAGTTAACAGGAGTTGATAAAAAAAACTAATAAATTAATTACCTTATGATAATGATTAATTACTGTATGGTAAATAGAGACTAATAAATATAAATTTCTGATAAATTAATGAATAATTTCAAATTATAGTAGCTAATATCTCGTTTGATTAATTGAAAAAAGTTAAAAGTATTAGATTTATTATTTGATTATAGATAGAAAAGATAGATAATCTATATATGACTATAAATATTACTTAATAAAAAATGAAAAACTCCATTTTCTTTATAACAATAAAAGAACTCTACATTGTATTTTTATTCGATAACATAAAGCTCACCCTTATCAATAATGCTTGAAAAATGTAAACTCTTGTAAACTTTATTTATAGTTTACGCTATAAATTTCAAGAATATTTATAAAGTTAGAAATAATTTATTAAATTAAAATATTATAGCAATTAAATTAATATAGTATTATATTATAGAGTAGTAATTATTTATTGAATAATTTATTGCTTTATATGAGTTTATAATGAGTACGTAGTAATAGAAGAAACAGAACTATAAATGAGGGAATTAAAAATTGTTAATCGTAAACTTTTTCAAATATTTATAATCAATTAACAATATTTAATACTTTTACATTATTTTTATCGCAAAAAATGATAAAGAATGGAATTAAAAATTGTTATTCGTAAATATAAAATAATTATCAATTAAAAAGTACAAATAAGGATTTTTTTACTTTGTGTTTTTATTGCAAAAATCGGTTTGTAATAAAAACTTTTGTCTTTTAAGAAACAAGTATTTTTTATTTATTCAAACGTTACAGTATATCCGCTGCTAATTTTGTGAAAAATTGTGGCGAATCAATGAAGTGTGTTCATGCATGCAAAATTTATTGACTCAATAAATTACAATGTTTTCTTTAAAGTCGATATAAACGCTTAGAATATTTCCTCATAAAGCAAGAAGTGACATATCTAGTAATAAATAAAATACACCGTTTGTATTCTCTTTAAAAATGTTTAAAAACGTTTAAAAATATTTTTAAATATTTAAAAATATTTAAAAATTTTATGAGAAAATACATTTTCCGTTTTATTTGTTTAAGAAAATATTAAGTTGATATTTAAACTCTGAGTTGTACCAGTAATTAATTTATAAAATTACATAAATGATTGATTCTTTTTATATTAACATTTAAGAGTTTTCAAAATTTTGCACGAAAAATGTATGTGAAATTTGAATGTTGTTTTAATAATCTAAAGAACAATGTATACTCACATTTTCGAATTTTTGTATTATCAAATTGTGTAGATAAAAATCGAAAACATTTTTATCATTAGAAAACTTTTTTTATATAAAATGAAAATTGCCCGCGAAACTGATTTTGAAAACATACCAAACAACCGGTTTGGGTTTTCGTTAACAATGACAATTTTCTTGGCTAATAATCACAATTTTTTTTTGAAGGGGGCGAAATCGATTAAAAATTTGGGACAATGACTAAAAAAGTGTGTCAAAGGCCTCTGACTTTTGATCCTGATTTGATGAATCGGAAAATATCAAATTCTTGAAGACTTTTATCATTTCCGTTTGGATTTTGCGCACTGGTAGTTTCTTTGAAAGTGAGCATACTTTTTGTCTAGTGGTTTTTTTTTGAAAAAATTTATTTTCTAGTTTTCTATTCTTGACTTTTATTTTTGTACTATGTTTGTTTTTGTGTTTTTGCTGTTTTTATTGGAAATAAATAGCGTTATATAGGCCGAAAGAGGGATCGGAGACCCGCGTTTGCGGAGTCACGCTAGTCGACTAGCAACCCTTGCCCCACCGAAGCCTTCTCATTCTCTTCCACTTCGACCCCCTCTACGAGCCACCCTCCATAGGCGCCTATAGATACGTACACAACCCTTCTCGGTTCGATTTTGAGGGTGGGAGGCTCGGCAAAGGAAATTGAGAGGATGGTACACATTTTATATACGTAATTCCTCTCGCAGTCAGTGTTCTTTACTACGTTAACCTCTGACACTCTCTAACACCTTTTTAAGACCACTCCTCTTATCTATTCTTCACTTTATCTACCCCAATTCTCTCTCTCTCTCTCTCTCTCTACGCCACCTCTACCTATAGAACTTTTTGTCATTTAGGTCGTGAGGCAGTTCAGGCTTTTTTCCCTTCACTGTCAGTCGTCGACCTCATTTTCTTTGAAAATTCAGAATCTGCATTATGTGCGTCATTGCAGTTTGGAAAATAGATTGACGATCCACGGATAGGGAGTTGAACACTAAATATATGCATATAAAAATGTTGATATTTTTTTAATACAATTTGTGTTAAATTGCACACATCAGAAAAAAGTAATGGGTTTCGTGAATATTCCATAAAAATTATTTGTTCGAATATTTATTATACAGAATTTTTTTTTTTTATTAAATCAGAGTTGTTATGGGTCAGAAAAATCAGGGAAAAGTCAAAGATTTTTATTAAAGTACTGGAAAAAATTTAATTTGCAGAATTTATAAGGAAATTCTGAATTTTTGCGTCTTTTTTGTTTGCCTCATAAACTATGAAATTAGGGGTCATACACAAACTACGTAAGGCTTTAATACCTATATATTTAATTAATTATTATAAATTCTTGATTTATAGAAAAATTTTAGTTAAAAACACTAAAAAAATTGAATTTTAGAGAAGTTACAAATGTTTGCAGAAATTAAAATATTTTCAAAAGTAATCAAATTCTCCGCAGAAATTCAATTATGTTCAAAAATTTATTAATAAAATTAATTAATTAAATTAATTAATTTTTATTAATAAAATTCTTGGCAAAATTTCAATTAAATAATAAAATGCTTTTCTTTAAAATTCAATTCTTTTCAAGAATTTTAATAAAACTCTTCTCCGAAATTCAATTATTTTCGAAAATTGTAATAAAATGCTTGGTAATGATTCAAGTATTTAAAAAAATTATCCCTTATTCAATGATTTTCAATATCAACTATTTTAATAAAATTTTCCAAAAGAATTCATTTATTAAAATTCTACGCAAACATTCAATTATTGTCATAAATAATACAAATTTTACAGGAATTCAATTATTTACAAATTTTTTATAAATTTCTTTGACAGAATTAAATTATTTTCAGGAATTTTAAAAAATTCTCTTAAAAATTTCAATTATCTTTTAAAATAATAAAATCTTCCAAAAGAATTCAATTATTAAAAAAAAATTTAATAAAATTCTGCGCAAACATTCAATTATTGTCATAAATAATACAAATTTCACAGGAATTCAATTATTTAAAAATTTTAAATTTTTTATAAATTTCTTTGACATAATTGAATTATTTTCAGGAATTTTAAAAAACTCTCGTAAAAATTTCAATTATCTTTTAAAATAACAAAATTTTCCAAGAGAATTCAATTATTTACAAATTTTTTATAAATTTCTTTGACATAATTGAATTATTTTTAACCGAATTCCTCGAAAAATGTAATTAATCTTAAAATTTTTATTAAACTTCGTCAAAAAATTCAATTACTTAAAAATTTGTTAATAAAATTCTTTATGAGAATTTAATTTTGAGAAACATTCATTTATTCAATAATTTTTTCATTTTTGTATTTAAATAATTAAATTCTTGTAGAATTTTCTAATAAAAATTGTTTAAAAATGAATTTTTAGTTAAAATTTTAGATAAAAGTATAATTGAAATTTTTTAAAAAATTATTCCAAGTTTTTATTTTCTAAATATTGAATTGAAGAATTTCCAAATAATCAAAATTTCGTAAAATTGAATTGTAAACAAATGGATTTGAAGATTTTCTAGAAACTTTTGCGAATTTTATTATATTTTGTTAAATAATTGAATTGATGCGAAAAATTGTATTACTGATAAAAATAATTGAATTCTCGCAAAGGATTTTATTAAAATTTTGGTAAATAATTTAATTTTTTTTTTTGAAAAATTTTATGGAAGTTCAAATTATTATAAATCATGAAGATAGCGATCACATAATATCTTCTTGTTTTATAATAATATTACTAAAAGTTATTGAATTTCAAAAGAAGTTATTGATGATTCTGAATAATTTTACAATTAAAGAAATTCGTAAATGTAATACTTTTACTCAACATATGAGGTCACCGAATTTTTATTTAACAGAATTTCCAGTTGATTAAAGTTTTAATTAGCCATTTTCTTTTCTACTTGAGAGAAATGTATTCTAATTGAATTTTAATTTAGAAAAAATATCATTTATTCAGAATTTAAGAGTCGAACTTTTAATTGTCGTAGAAATTCTATTCAATCGCAGCTTCATTTGTGAGGATTATTATTTGGACGAATTGTCATTTAAGAGAAGAATTTTCATTTTTATTTCAGTATTTTTAGAGGCTGAAATATCAATTGATAGGATTTTCATTTCTCCGAACAATCATACGATAGAAAGAAGCACTAATTTTAAAATGGAGCAACCTCTATTTTCTTGATAATTTCTGATTGATCAATTTTAAAATTGCTCTTCCAAAATCATTCTGTCTGATATTTTTTCGGAGAAATGATATCCTTATATAGAAAAACTGTGAGGCAGATATAAATAATATTTCTTCTAAATTTACATTCGGTTGTATTACATTTTTAAAAAATAATATACATGGTACCATATATAAAATGAAAATGGATAATGCATTTTAAGAGGAATCAGCTAAAATGAAGATTACTTTTTTTAGGGTGTGATGCGAAATGGAAATATGAGGAAATTTTTAAATTCAAAAGTAATTGGAATGATGAATAACCGTTGGCAAAGGGAATTTATCCGACTTTCCCCGCAAATAGGACAACGTGTGGCCACAATATTGATGCAATATTGTGCCATTTGGCAGTTATTACTATTCAAATATTATGGGCAATATTGCGTCAATATTAACGAGCAGTATTGTCCTAAGTTTGAAACAATATAATGGCCGTTCGTTGTACTATTTGAAATATATAAAAATGTTATTTATAGCCAAATGTTGATATATGAACAATTTGCCAAAGAAAAAGCAAACCTTTTGCATCTCTAAACCTTAAAATTCAGTCAAACATGGTTTTAGTGAAAAAAGGGCTGAACTTTCTAAATTTGATTTTGTAAAATTGAACTAATTGTTATCAGATTATTGATGTAGTTACAGTACTCACTAAATCATTAGTTAAAACGGATTAGTAAAAATTCTACTAAATTTAATTTAGAGAGAAAGAAAAATTTATATTTTACTGTGTATTTATTTTTAATTGTTTACTTTTTAATCTTTTTGTCGTTGAAAAAAACCTTCGAGTTAAGTATCTACTTAGATTTTATATTAAAGAAACAAATTTCGAGCCATCCTGAAAAGTTATTAATTTAATCCGACCAAGGGTTTTAATTTTAATACAGCCCGAGTCGAAATTTAGACCCTACTTAGCCTCTGAAAATGTAGGGCTTATTCAGGTTTAGCAGTCGTAAAGTAGGGTCTGATTTCAATACAATTTTTAAAAACTAGACCCTCCTTTGACTCCCAAAATAGGCTGAAATTTGCCAATCTTCCATTTGGAGAAGCAAAGGAGGGTCTACTTCTAAGAAACCTATACCGTACTTTTAAACATCGTAGACCCTACTTTCATACTCCTAGACCCTACAATTAGAAAAAGAAAAATTTGAAGATTTGCTCAGATTCAATTGAAGCACTAGGGATGAGTAAAAGTGGAATTTTATGTGTTTTATAGCGTCTATATACACGAAGTGTATACAGACGCTATAAAACACATCAGTATTTATGAATTTGGAGTACTTTTTGCATTTGCAGTGTTTCAAGTAATGCATTAAAAAATAATTCTAAATTTTCTTTTAGAATGTAGGGTCTAGGAGTATGAAAGTAGGGTCTACGAGGTTTAAAAGTACGGTATAGGTTTCTTAGAAGTAGACCCTACTTTGCTTCTCCAAATGGAAGATTGGCAAATTTCAGCCTATTTTGGGAGTCAAAGTAGGGTCTAATCGTATTAGAATTAGACCCTACTTTACTACTCCTAACACTCAATAGACCCTGAAAATTCAGGGTGAAAGTAGGGCTTAAATTTCGACTCGGGAGGGCATATAGCCTTTTAAATTCATATACCGCACATATTCATATGCTTTTATAGTGGAAATTTGTTTTAAATTTATACAGAACCATGTTTAATTTATATATATACATATATCCTATATATTACAAACTCATATTTTAGCTTTAGCGGAAATTCCCATCTTATAAAGCATGCCAACATATTTTGAAGTTTGTTCATTGAGAAAAAGTGGAAAATATATAATCTTTTTAACTCTCTTGCGGTTCAAGTATATCCAACTTGTATGAAAATCTCACCGAAAACATTTTCTTTGGGGAGAAAAATGTTCACCTTAAAAGATATGTTTATAGTTTTTAAATTCACAAAGTTTCTGATTTATTTATTTGAAATCCCGCTGTTTTTTCGTATAAATATTTTATTTGTATGCGGAAAGAAAAATGGTAGACTAAATGTGTGAAGTTGTTTAATAATTTAGATTTTAGTGGGAATTTTTTTTTTATAAGAAATTTTTAATTTTAGGTAAAATTTTACACGTTTGTTTGGTAATTTTAATTTTTTTTAGTGAAGCTTTAGTGAAAAAGGATTTTAAATTAAGGAGCTGGATGCTATAAGGAATAATTAGATTATTAAAAATAATTAATTTATAGAAGATTTTAGTCGAAAACACTCAAACAAATTGAACTTCGAAGCAATTGCAAATAATTGTAGAAATTCAATTATTTTTCAAAAATTTTAATTATTTTCA